CCTGGTTCAGGTGGCGTCAGCTGGATCTCACTACTGAAAAGCCACCTCTTTGCCTTGGTAACTAAGAAGTACTTTGCAAATGTCTGTTTTTCTGTCACCTTTCTACCCAGTGGTCTTAGCATTGCTGATCCTTGCCTGGACCCATTTTTATATGGGGGGGTTGCAAAATGATGATTTCTTGACTCTACCAGTTTTCCTGTATCTATTAGCTGGTATCCCATAAATGGCCAGTCCTCCTTGGTATTGTTTTTTAATTTCACTATGAAGGCTTGGATTCAGCTTTTTCTTAACATCTTTTTAATTGAACCCTTTGTCTTGAGATACATTTTCCAAACTGTGATATACTGGTCTTGTGAAATACAATATATATATTTCACAGCACTTCTCAAATATAATATATAATAGTCCTTTGAAATGCTCAGAGGAAAAAAGTATTCTATGGTTAAATACTTTGGGGGACATAATGTATCTACCATCTCTTATGATGTTATGTAATCCACATCCAGATATTGAAAACTTCAAGAACCTATTTTACTTTGTTTAACCAGGTGTTTCTCAACCTGGAGAAACCTTTTTCCTATTCAACATCAACTTAGTACTTGATGAAATACATTCAGGGAAACGCTGGCCAAAAGCCAGCCCTGTTAATTAAATGTTTAAATATTTCATCAATAATATGAAACAAAGACTGATTAATCATGGTTGATGTATCACTGTTTGTTCAACAAACTCTGTATGATTATGGTAGTTATTTTACAATTATTCTATTCATAAGGTCAACTCAGCATACCACTGAGGGACTGGAGGTCAAAAATGACCCTAAAGTAGGCAAAGATTTCATAAAAAGTACACAAAAACAACTAAACATCAAAGAAAAGATTGATGCATTGACTTCATTCAAATTTAAAAATTCTGCTTAATAGAAGACACCAACAAGGGTATGAAAAGACGAGCTTCAGACTGGCATAGTATGCTGTATTTATAAACATGTGTCCAGAAACTATAAAGGACTCCCACATATATACAAGAAAAAGATTAAATAAATCTTTTTGAGTTGTTTAATTCAATAAAACAAAAGACATAAACAGCACTTCACAAAAGATAACCAATGACCAATATGTATGTGGATATACTGGCCTTAGAGAAACACCAAGTCAAATCCACAATGACCTACCAATACGCACCCACCAGAATGACTAAAAAGGTAAATGAGAAAAGACTGACAGTGCCAGGTATGTGTGTGAGGATGTGGAGTTGGTAGAAACTGTGAGGTGTCACCTGGATTGCCTTTCAATCAAGTGATTGTTGCCCCAGCTGCACATGAAAATGCTAGGTCGTCACTTTCCGATCCTTTAGGGATTGCTTCAGCTGCGACTTGTCCAGAGTCACTGATGGAGGGAGGGGAGAGGGGACTAGCCATTTTGGCCCAACTTGGGGCAATTTTGAGGGCCATTCTAACTCCCTCAGTCTCACGCCAGGTTGTTGTTGGACCTGAATCCCTCAATGTCCAATCTTACTTCCTACTGCTCTCTTCCACAGGAGTTGTTGTTCCCAAGACACTCTGCAATAAACATCCTGCACATCAAGCTCTTGATGGATTACCTGGTTCCCAGGTAATCCATCCTGTGACAGGTGCAACAGGAGTTCTCACACATTTCCTGTCTGTATGAACTAGAACAACCACTCAAGACAACTATTCGTCCATGTCTACCAAAGCTGAAAAACAAGCATATCTTCAGCAATTCCACTCCTAGATATTGACCTAGGAGTGAACATGGTGTCTGTCCACCAAAAGTCATGTACAAGAATGACAGCTTTATTTATAATAGACCCCTAACTGGAAATGACCCAAATGTCTATCGGCTGTAGATTGCCTTCTTTTTTTCTTCCTCCTGTTCCTCTCCTCCTCTCTCTCCCTCCTTCACTCCCTCTAGAGGGAGATAACCATGAGTTATAATCTGATCCAGGTCTCCTCATCTGGACAGAGTTCTTACAGCAGGATCTGGAGGCCAAATATCTATTAATAATAGCAGCATTTCTCAAATTTTGCTCCAGAGTGCGCTACTAATGTATTATTATACAAAGAAAGTGTCCTAGAATCAGGTTAGTTTTGGGACATCAGTGGAATTTCTTTGGGTCTTTTTCAAGATGTGAGATGTATTATGCAGGCTTCCCCAAACTTACTTGACTCTAGAATCATTTTCTGCAGAACATCTCAGGGTACAAGAACTCTTCAGAACACACTTGGGGTAACAATCAAAGAAATAAGCAACGTCCAGTTGCCGAAACATCCTCTTGGCAGATCTCCCTCTGGAACCTAGATTCGCAGATTCTAACTCATGGCTATCTCACTTTCTTACCACACAGACATGACTAACAAAGGACTAAATAAATTAAGTCCCTGGTCGCTTTGGTTCATACTTCTTTATTTCATGTCTTATACTGTCTTAGATTGTGTGACTCTTTACAGAAATTCTTGTTTCTCCACTAATAGTATTTAACTTCTTTGATGTTAGTAGTTCTCCAGTAAACAATGATTTATTTAAATCACTCAAAGTAACTGTGAATCACTAGCCTCTCGGTTTGCAGGAGGGTCTTAGAAAACACTTTCTGATCCCGGTGTTTTTACCTAAAAATCTCACTGAAACCTAAAAATGTTTAACATTTAACTCTAGGCATGGAGCCAGCCAGCACTTATTCTCCAGTGTAGTATTAGGGTATCATCAACTTTGCTGCTGTCCCCAAACTGGCTCAGTGCCTCCACTGCCCCTTGCAGATCCTACTGTTAGCCTGAATTCTTCTTTAGGCAGTTAAGCGGCCCCAGCCTCTAATAGCAGAACCCCAGAGCCTGCTGTGCTACCATCCACCACCTCCACCCCATCACACAGACGCCGCAAGTCCCCAGGATGGACTGGCTCGGGCTGGTGGCACGGACCTTGGGAAGAAAGAATGGAGCCAGCAGCAATCTCAGCAGGCTGTGCCTGGGACTCTGGCTCAGCCTGGGTTACTGGTGTAGTGGCATGTAAAAGTGAAGGAGGTACAAACTATTTCTTGCAGGTAGACTACTTTGTATCTGCCTTGAGAGAAAAGGGAAATGCAGGGAGGTAAGACTAGGATGTCTTTGACATCAGGGATTATGTGCATGCACCTATCTCTGTATGGTTGCCCAGTGCCAGACACAGGGGTGACCCTCAACATGTAATAGCTCAATGAGCTTGGAATGTGTGGATTCAATTTAAGTAAAAGAATTAACAGTGGGGAAAAGGTGATTTAGAGATAGAAGCTTGGATGTGCACTTGAACTCTGCCGCCTTATTAGTTGTGTGACCTTCGGTGATTTATTTTTAGTACTTGGAGCCAGTTTCTCAAAAGTAACATTGAGTTATTCACACTTCTACTTATGTGTGTTATGTACCAGCATATGTATATATGTGTATGCATGCATAGAAATATGTCTGGAATGATTTACATCAATTGTTAACACGGTTGTTCTGGGGAACTGGAAGTTGGGGTGACTTTTCTTCTTTGTATTTTTCACTAACACCTGATTTTTTTTAAGGTAAAAAAGTAAATAATATCCAAAATACTATTAATGTAAAAATGTAAATGTATAACAATGAAATCTTTGATACTTTTCAGTCTTTGAAATGGGAGGATCTTATAAAAAATTCCCATACATTAAACCAAATATCAATCCTTCAGTTTTTTCCTTTCTTAACTTATGCATAGTAAATAGCTCTTTTGCTAATAAGTCTTGGAGGAATCCTTACAGGGTAACATGAAGACTATTCATTCTAAGAAAATATAGGAAGAAGTAACATACCACCTTACCTAGAAGAACAGCAAATCTTTTAAAACCCAATACTCTAATGTATGTGTGGAGGGTAGACAAAAACCATTTAGATGATATTGAAAAATGTAAAACCAGTTGAAATTATCCATTTAACAAATGAAGAGCCACTATGTTTTATTAGTATTTAATGAAAACATATATATTTTAAATTAAGAAACAAGTAAAAGGTCAACAACTTTTTTAGTGAATTTGTGATGATATTCTCTGCTTCATAGATCCTAGACCCGGGTGGCACCTTATTCCTCCAGCTATTTATATTTTTATTCATGAACCTCTAATAAACAATAAACAGTACAACTTTGGAGAATTTCAAAATGCTACTTTTCAGTCAGCCTCAAAGACATCCTCCCAATCCAAATTAGAATTTGATAGGGGTTTAAATAATTCACAAACAATTCAAATGAGATTATAAAGCTAATCAAAAGATATTACTAAAATATAGGCACATTTTCCTTTAAATATCTGAGAGTCCATTTACAGTGCCTCTGTTATATTCATTCAAATTATTCTTATAATCTAAAACAATGAAGCTTCTCAACTGGTGGAATGTGGCCAGGGGATTTCAACAGTTTGAAGGCAACATAACCAAAAGGCATAGTTTCAACTGGCTTAGGGGATGAATGGGTTCCTTATCAGAGCAGCTGAAGGCTGTATGCATTTCACAGCATCTGCCAACATTCACAGGGCCCCATATAGAATCAGCAGGCCCTACAGCCTGGCAGCAACCTTCACTTCTGGCACCTTCAGATCCACATGACCTGAAAACAAAAAGACAGCTTCAAGCCATCACTGGAAGACACTGAAACATTTTAGTGATATTGCTGATGGATGTTAATTATCTAGAACAATTCTGTCAACCTTAGCATCAGGCTTCAAAGTAACCAGCTATCATACAAAATATAAAATATCATTTATAAATTTATATTGATGACTAATTTTAAAATCTTTTTCATGTTATTTTTATTTTGAAAGGACAGGATAATTATCTACTAACCTGCCTTTTTATATGATGAAGTCTCAATTTAATTCAGCTTAAATGTTACTGTGTGAGGGGTACTAAATTCGTTATTTGGCAATTTTTGGTGGTTTTTGTATATAATACATTTCACTCATGGGTATGTACAAAAGAAAACAAAACAAATCCAGAGTTTCATTAAATAAATTTATTTGTTAAAATAATTTAACTCCAAATACAACTGTTGAATTTGCATTGAGTTATAACTACAATTCATGTTTTAATTGAAATGTCAAGGTTTAACAACTGACATTGTTACAAAACAATAAACTGTTGTTCAATTTTAAATGGTCAGTTGTATTAGAGCTCAACAATTAACTGTGAACTATATCTCTGGGAAACCTCAAATCAATAATGATAAGTCTGTTTCCAAAACCCACTGCAGTCATTCTTGAAACCCTGATCAAGATTTAATAGATACACAATGACACGTTAAAAAAAAAAAAAAAGACCCCATAGTCATTAATATTTGATTGGCTAAGGAGACAATTAAAGCTTACTCAGTGCTAACATAAGACTACTGATAAAAACAAAAAATGAAAAAAACAAATGAGCCAACAGCAACAAACAAAACAAAGCACTTTCATATCCATACATACACTGACAGCATTCACACTGGAAAACCCTTGAAAACAAATACCAGACAGCCTTAGGCAACATTTCTTTATACAGAAAAGCATTTCAGTAGTATTACCACAGAAAAGTGATGGCAACTGCAGCAATTAGAGTCAAAAATTCAGTCCTAATTCTACAAACCAAAGGAGAAAATCATCAAAGCACCTTTCAATAGTGTAAGAAAAGATTTTATGTAATATTTTTTATCAGATGCTGGCTTGTTTGTGTATGTTGAAAAAATGAAAGGCATCAGTTACCATCACTATCACAGCTTAAAAGAACTAAAAAGTTATAACATTAAAAGAAAGAAACTTAAAAAAAAAATGCTGCCTTTGTATAAAAGTAAAAAAAACAAAAGAAAACCTTATCACAATAGCTAAAGAAAAAGTGGGTCTTTGGATTAAACCATAATATTTTTAAGGCATGTTAGAAAAACTTTCACTTAACTAGTTGCTAGTCTGATCAGGGCATAAAATAAATAGCAACCCAAGGTCACCAACTTTCCTCTGTAGCCACCAATATTTCATGTGCCAACAAATGCAATCTTCCTATTCTTAAGCTTTTTATTACCACCTCGACAAACACATTCATTCAAGCTGAGTTATATTCACACCAGATGGATACCAATAGCAAAAGCACAGGAGGATTTCCAGTTTTTGGATGTCTTTGATGCCTTGTCACCAAATATATAGGGCTATGCAGAAACACTGATCAGGTAGCCAAATCAGTTATTATTAACATCTTTACAGTAAAAGCCCACCTTACTGTCTGATATAAACCTTTCTAATTACAACCCATTTTAGATCATCTTTTCCATCTTATATTTTGCCATATCATTCACATTATTTAACCTGTTTTTCATATCTGCATAGCAATCTATAATGTAAAACTGTGGAATCTTCATAGATATTTCTAATACACAATCTTAGTTGTCATAAATTGTTATTAATTATGAATCATTATGAGATGTTAGAGATCCAAAACTCAATCAATTCACTAACAAATATTTCTGCTTCAGTAGATAAATCATACTTCTTGAATCTTAGGTCTCTCTCTGTTTGAGTCAAATTAACTTTTACATGATGAAATTTGTTTCAATAAAATTGGCTGAAAGATTTTGTCCTATGAACAAGGTGCTTCATAATCGAGGATTATAAAAAATTATACTAAAGAATGTAAATATTCACAATTCAAAGATTTTTGACAACCAAGGCCTGGTTTCACCCATGTAGGTATCTCTTTAGTTTCCTCCTCTATGAAAAATACTATCAATCTTTTTTGTTTACATCCTCTAAGCTTAATGCCAGTTATTAAACACTTGGGGGGCTACAAATGATTTCAATAATGCAGAAAAGACACTTCAATAATTTAAAAGAAAAAATGTTTTCGATATACTATATTCTGCAGTATAGATTCTCAGTATAGGCAATTATCTCTGACTTGTGCCAAATTCTTAGGAACAATAAACACACATGCACACACAAACATACACTCTTCTCTCAGTTACACAGGTAAGACCAGAGGTTACTTGCACAAGACTGTGAAGCCAACAAAATGTGGGGTGATAAGTAGATCGTAGGCTCAGTGATATTGCAGTTCTGAAGGCCAAATTTATCTCCAGAGGCCCAGCTCAAGATAATCTCTTCGCATTTATAACTCTGAAGTTAGCTGAAAACCCTTCATACTTGATTGTAAAACTTATGAATAGGTTTTTTTCCTGTGCCATTAGTCATGCAAATGATAAATACTTCACGGCTGTGAAAACCGAAAAAATAACGTCAGAGCTTGAGCACCTTTTCAAAACAAAATATTCACTCTAGCTTTATTTGCCACTTCAGTAATCAGGGCAAAATTGTTCTAAGAAAACCTTTATATAATTCTCCAGGAAAATTAAAGATAAAAGGCTTTTTGTCCCTTACCTTCCACTCTGTAATTTATGTTCTACTTTTAAGCCCAAATTATTTCACATGGTTATTCAATTTTTTAAATGCCTGCAATAAAGCTCTGCTATGGCAAACTTGATTTTGAAAGCAGGTTAGCCAAGGGTCACGCCACAACCATAGCCCTTAAAGGCGAGAAGGAATTTGCTGCATTTACGAACCTAAAAAAAATGCCAGATATTTGTACTGTCCTGTGAGGTTTCTGCAAACGGGAACATATGGATGCAACATGGCTTCATTTTCCTTACACGATGGTACTAGTTTATCTACTAGAATGCTTCTTGTTAGTAAGGCTAGGCAATCTCTCCCCATCACAGTTGCTTCCTTCTTGTTCAGTAAAGTAATAAAATGGCCACCCCTGCTCGGTTAACAGAGGATGGCTTTGGGGTTTCAATTCTCATCAAAACCTTGTGAGAGCCTCCATTTTCTGTGGCAAAGCAGGTGATTAACAAATACTAAAGCCAGACTGTATTTTTATACAACCTGTTCTGGCTTTTGCTCTATCAAGGATTGAAGCATGAGTTAGTTCCATGTCACAAATTAGGATAACATCTACAATTAAGCATCAAATTTGAAAAACAGAAATGTGTCAGCTGAGCAAAGAATCTCTCCCTGTAATGCTGTTGGCAGGTCGGCTGTTATTATCTTACTTGATGGAATACATTGGTTAGAAGCTCTATCCCAATTCCTGAAATTCAGTACTCTTGTAGGAAAATATTTCTCCTTTACTTATTTTTTTTTAAAGAAGATAAAATATTTTAATTGTAAGTGATCATAGGAATTCTTCTGGTTTCTCCCTCATGATTATTTCTAATTTATACAATAGTCGCTTCTGTCAACTCAGTGACAGTGCCAGCACAGCTTTCGAATGAGATCACCCTGTAGATCGATGGGCTATGCCCGAAAGTCGCAGATGCATACAGGAGACTGAGGACAACGGTGAAAACTGTAGTTACTGAACCCAAATGTTACTCAGAGATATCAACTGACAGTCACCGCTCAATTCTGAATAAGGGCTGCAGTTCTCTGTAGATTCACACCACGCATCCTGCAAACTCTGAGTTTTCTGCGGCCTACGATGTTGGGCAAATCCTGTCCAGGACAGCCATATTCGGGTGCTATTGTATGTTACATGCAGAACAGCAGGGATCATCTTTGTCGGGCTGAGCGGCATAGTTCATCTGCCTCACAATTTCTGCAAAGAGTTCGTCCACCATTGTTTTACTCTTAGCAGAAGTCTCCATAAAGGGGCAGCCCCACTCTTCAGCAAGGGCTCTGCCTTCATTGGACGACACTTCTCTCTCACTTTCCAGGTCCACTTTGTTCCCGACCAAGATGACCGGTACTTTCTCATACCTACGAGAGAATAAACAAAATGGACATATATTGTAGTAGTTAGCAAAGTTAAACAGGTAACATGTATTATATTTTTGCACCATATTCCACTATAAATGATCTTTTCAGTTGCATGAAAAATTGTTCGTACCCCTTGGCCTGACATCTACCTGAGGGTGTTTTGAAGCTGCGTTCGTAGTGGATCATAAATGGGTTTTTCAAAATGATGTTTTTAATTAATCAGTTATACATTCTTTAAAATCAATTTATCTTTCCAGATATACATGGAAATTTATTCCCAGAAACTCAGACTAAATCCTCTTAAATTGTTTCCATTCTAAGAGATCCTTACTCAAAATTTCACAGTTGATCATGTAATAAATAGTTCTACTGAGTAAACAGATAACTTATAGTTATCAGTCTTTTACTATATTCTATAAGTATACAAAACTGATCATGTTCTAATAGTTCCTAAATAAGGAAAAAACTAGCAGAAAGCATTAGGATGGAAGCCATGAAAAACAACTCCATCCTATCCCTTTATAACGTTGTTACAGATTAGCCAGTTGAAAGAGAAACAATTCTGGTTCTTTTCAGACTGACAAAGGTTCAACATTTCAATCATTAGTTTTATTTGATGTTATCTCTCTTTCCCTTCCTAATTAGAATAGATGTCTCTGAGTAAACATGTTTGGAAAAAGCTAAACTAATAAAGCTAGTAAGTGATAAGAACAAAGCTCCTAAATCATTTTGGTACCCAATGATTCTCTCTACAATGGGACATAACACAGGACACAACAGATGTCAGAGTGTAAAAATACCTGCAGTGCAGGTTTGCATATTTATTTACTATTCTTGTTCCTGCTTGTTCTAAGAAATGTAGCTAATATATTTTTATAAGACTATCATTTTTACTTTAAAGGTCATTTTAAAAGGCTTTTGTGCTTTTTGTGATTTTAGTATGAATCAGTGTGTATGTGTGTGTATGAACTTTCCCTTACACAAAATGAATCTCTGATTTGTAAAGGAGGTAAACAGCAGAAACAGATAAATGTGATTGGACACAGGTAATCTGTCAGGAGAGAAAATCACCACATAGTCAAGACAATATTGAGGCAGAATTTGGATAGAATTTTTATTATTCAGGAAACTGAATAATAGACATATGGGTATTGTTTTGCTACAATACTTTCACAAATTTCATCATCCTGTCAAGATGGTTCTCTCCACCCACCCTAACTTGTAAAGCAAACTGTATTCCCAACAGTCTCGCTTTTTTCTTTGGCACTGGATCAAACTAAGAATGATCTCAACAAGGGGGCATACTCCAAGTAGCCTGCCATTTAGCAATCCGAAACATAAAAAAAAAAAACTTAAAAATGAGAAGAAGTAACAACAAGGGTAAATCTAGAATTTGGATGTTATCATTTTGCAGGAAATGGATTTGGACAACTCCAATTTGTATCAAAGGACTTTATATGAATTTACTGTACACCAACTGTTATGATTTCTGGACTTAGATCATGCTGACAGCTCTGAACATATGACACAAGGGTTTCTCGTGTCTTCTAGGGCTCTTACATACAAACAGTTATGTGTACCCCCTGGCCTCTGGGAAGACAAGTGGCAGAACGAAGCTGCATTACAAAATACCATATCTCAGCTCTTTGCACATAAACTCTCCTGACCTGCTTGCTGTACAGAGAAGTGTGGCAGGGAGCAAATACTGCCAGGCATGTCAAGACAATGTTGGTTTCTAATTTGTTTTACTTGCAAAGATACAACTGCATTTCATTTTTCTTATGAGAGTATTTACATCACAGTGTGCTTTAAAATGCTTTGCTTGACAGAGAAGTAACTTAACAATATAATGAAGTAAAATTTATTGGTTGAATTTAAGTTAAAAATGAATTTCAATATCTGTTTATAATACTTAATAAAAAGGAAAGTGATAAGATATCACTTTCTGTTACTAGTTAAGAGAAATATTTTAAGGAATTTTTTTTAGTTTAAAACAGTATCAGCCGGGCGCGGTGGCTCACGCCTGTAATCCTAGCTCTCTGGGAGGCCGAGGCGGGCGGATTGCTAGAGGTCAGGAGTTCAAAACCAGCCTGAGCAAAAGCGAGACCCCGTCTCTACTATAAATAGAAATTAATTGGCCAACTGATATATATATATATATATATAAATTAGCCGGGCATGGTGGCCCATGCTTGTAGTCCCAGCTACTCGGGAGGCTGAGGCAGAAGGATCACTCGAGCCCAGGAGTTTGAGGTTGCTGTGAGCTAGGCTGACGCCACGGCACTCACTCTAGCCTGGGCAACAAAGCGAGATTCTGTCTCAAAAAAAAAAAAAAAAAAAAAAAAACAGTATCAGATCATGTTTTATACTGTTAAGAATAGCTACTACACTTGATTTTAGCCAAAAGGCTGACAAGTGATATCATGTTTTATACTTAAACAAACATTTCTTATATGTTTAGTTAAAAAGTACAGACCTATGAGAATGTGTATTTTTAAAACTTGCAAGAATATTAAATTATTAACAGATGTATGACACACTGTTTAAATCAAGAATTGGAATAAATCTTACCAACAGTCTGATTCTCAAAAGGGCAACTACAACACTGCAAAGATAGGTCCATACATAATTGCATTTAATAACTGTTAAATGTAGATGAAAATTTAGTCAGTATCAGAGACCCTGCCCATTATAATCACTAACTAAATTGTCAGTGATCTCTTCTAAAATCAAGATGATAAAGATGCTAGAGAAATCCACATTACTATCTCAAAAGATTTTTAAAAACTGAGTAAGATCTTCCAAAAAAAATTTATGTAAATTTCAGAATAGCAGACGGTGATAACTTTTGTCTCTTTCTCTGTTAACATTAAAATTTGGGATAGTAGAAAAGATTCTAAACTTGGATTTGGAGGCTCTGCTTCCAGTCCTGCCAATGAGATCATTCCCTCTATGTATCTGTATTTCGTTTCTTTGTCAGTAAAAGGGAATAAGGATATCTGTTCCCACTTAACATACAAGGTTGCCGTAAAGGTCAAATGAGATAATATAGATAAAAATCAAGTACTAGACAAATGCAGGGTGGTGTTTCTTTTACCTCCTAACTCTACTGGTCTGAGGCACCAGCCTGAGAAGCCATGAAGTGTCAAGAAGCTGGAGAACAGGCCAAGGGAGATAAGGGGCTCCTGAGGAGGGCAGACCCAGCTCAAACCAAGTGGGGGTGTGCAGAGACAGGCAAAAGAGAGATGGAGTCAAAGACAGCAAAACAGCTGCCTGACGTTAGCCGATTCCCTCTTCTGTCCCTGTTCTGAGCACTGTGGTAAGGAGGAACAAGAAAGGCAGAAAAGCATTCTCAAAACATTGAAGTCTTAGGAGAAAACACTGGCATGTGTGGGTAAGGCAATCTAAGAAGGCTTTGGGTTGGGGAACAGAATAGGATCTTCCATGAAGATGGAAGGTAGATTTTCTTTCTTAGCCAAGGAAGGTGGGTGAGAAGTAAAAGGGAAAGAAGCCAGGCCTCCTGTTGACAGTAAAGCACAGCACAGAAGAGGCAGCACAGCAGAGGAACCTGGTCTGGCCATCTCCTGTAGCAATATGGTGGGTAAAATAAAATAAAATAAAATAAAATAAAGCCAAACAGACCAGGACTCCAGTCTCAGAGCTGCCTCTAGCTAGTTTTGTGAATTTAGATTTACCTAATTTCTTGGTTCCTGAGTCTCTTGCGGTATAAAATGAGCTGGACTACATAATTTCTAAGGTACTCTTAAGCTCTAAAGTTAAAAATCACAACATAGTGGGCCACACCCGAAATGAACACATATCACTTGCCAGGTTAATTGCTGAGTGCTTAGCACTGTTCCACAGGCTGATTTTTAAGAGATAGGAAAGTACGCATCAGAAATAAAGCCAAAATAGAGGGGAAAACCTTAGGAGATCTCATGGGACCGAAACACTGAGCAGCAGGTTTCAAGTCTACAAGTAGAGCAGCTACTGCCAGCGTGCTCTGACTCACAGGCAGAAGTCAAAAATGCACTCAACAACCTGGGCAGCTCCATTTCACTGACTAATACTGTTCAAACACAAATATCTGGGATGGTTTTAACTATGTGAATACTGAAGGCTACATTAAAAACTACCTGATGCAGCATAACTAGTAATGAACAAACAATGTGTCGTGTACTTATTCTTCTACTCAACACTTATTTGCCAAGAGCCTACTATGTGCTAGGTACTATTGTAGGCACTTATGATACATCAATGAACAAAACAAAAAGATTTGTGCCCTCATAGTAATTGTAGTCTAGCAGAGGACACAGATATCAACAGTAAACCTAAGTAAACAGGTAAATTATGGGTTTATTAGGAGGTCTTAAGTGCAATGGAAAAAAGAAAATGCAGATCAGAGAGTGGGCTGGAGGCACAGGAGCCATCATTTTAAATAAGATGATCACAGGCTTGCTGGGAAGGTGACACGTGAACGAAGAAGTGAAGGGCACAAGGGAGAGCTTGCCAAGCCCAGGGGAAGAGCATTCTGGGCAGGGCATGGACTAGACAGTGCAAGCACTGGTGGGAGTGTGCCTGATGGTTCAAGGACAGCCTGGGAGACCAATCTGTAGAACCTTCAGCAGGATCCCTGCAGTGTAGGAAACGTGTTTATTTGTGGCTAAACAGACCTGAGAATCTGAATGCCAAAAGTGGTCTCAGAAGACAAATTTGACATTTATAATAGGGCTGACTCTGTCAGTCATTTTGTATAATTTTTTATCCTCATAACAACTGAATTATATAGATTATGTACAGATCTCCCTGTCAACCTGGGATCCCCTAACTGCAAACCCCTTGTTCATTATTAGGTTATTAAGTATGAAATGTCCGATTTCTAAAGTTAGACAGTTGATATCTCTGACATTTCACTTTGACACTTCTTGTTTTATTTTTATTGTGAAGGTACATCCTCAGTCTTTCAAACACACATGTTGGCCTGTGATTATCTTTCAAAT